AATTTAAATAATTGAACTGATGTTTATTTTTAATTGAGCTTAAATTACCATTTCATTAATTATCCTTCAAAACCCTCCAAATTGGGAGAACTTAAAAATTGATCATTTAGAGGGTTTTGGAGGGCCATGAAAGCCCTCCAAAACTGTCCCCTCCAATTTTATAAACTCCAAAACATGAAAAATAGGGTTATAAACTCCATCAACCTTCTCCTCCCCTCCAAAACCTAACTTCCAAACACACCCTCAGGCTATTTCCAATTTCTTTATTCAAAATTACTCAGCCTCCTCGTTATTCATTACCCATGCTGCTATATGGGTTGCTGCTGCTGGACTTCGAGATCGACTCATCTCTCTCATCGTCGATAGCTGGAGGCAAGACTGCTTTGCGACGATGGCGCAGGGGACCGTTAAAGCGAAGACGCAGAAGGCAGCCACAGCTTCGCATTTACTTCACCTTGACCTCAAACGGTCATTAATGGCGGAAATCTGGACGAAGCCTGAGAAATTGAGCTCCGCGACACGATTTCATATCTCCCACGCTTGGCCGGGAGAAACCTGGTCTGGATGCGGTCAGTTCCACAGTCAATAGACAGTGAGACGGCCTCCGGAGACCTCACCCTCGACTTTAGTTATTCTATTAGTTTCTACGCTGCTGATGGAGGTGGACAAGCTGAGGTCGGAGATCGGCGGGCCTGGCGGTGCCGTGACAGAGTTGGATGAGCGAGTTGCTAAGAAAGATGAATGCTCATTGCTCTGACCCCATTCGAGAGAGCTTCTGTTTCCGGCTGCTTGGAGATCCCAGCCACAACGGTGGGTGGCAACAACATCCAGTAGCGTCGCCAGAAATTGTAGATCACCAAGAATATCAGATCTCCCCTTTTCTGAAATTTCATGATTAATTCCTATCAGAGAAAATTAGAAGCTCTCAATGAAAGCACCAATGTTCGTCAAAAATAGGATGCTCGTAGGCTTTTAGGAAAATTACTTTAGATGCTCAAGCATGAATTAGGAGAGGTAGTATGAATAATGAAAGTGCTAACATAAGTTTAGTTTCCAGAAATGGCTTATCGAAATTGTTTCCCCTAATTTAAATTACAACCCGCCTTTTATAGGCGTACACAAATCATAACCGCTATTGATAATAATGATTAATTAATTACAACATTTATACAGAATTAAACAACACATTAATTGCTTGACTGTTACTCTTTCTGGTTAGCAGATTGGTCGGACTGACAGGCTTCTCGTTGGGCTGGTAGCAAGGCTCCATGTTGTGGACTTGGATCCACGGGTCCAAGTTTGGGACTTGGGCCGATTAGACTCTGGACCTAGTCCCATAACTCCATCACGAGTCATTAAGGTTGTTGGTCCAAAATAGGACGCTCGTAGGTTTTTAGGAAAACTACGTTAGACACTCAAGCAGGAATTAGGAAAGTAATACGAATAAGGAAAGTTGCTAAAGAAGTTTAGTTGCCAAGAATAGCATCTAAAAACTGCTTCCCTAATTTGAATTACAATATGCCTTTTATAGGCGTATAGAAATCTTAACTGTTATCAATAATAATGACTAATTAATTACAACATTCATACGGAATTAAATACATAATTAAACAGCGCATTAATTGCTTGACCGTTACTCTTCCTGGTTGTTAGGTCGGCCGGGTTGGCATGTTCATGCCTAGGCTGGTAGGCAGGCCCCAGTTTGTGGACTTGGATCCACGGTCCAAGTTCGGGGCTTGGGCCGATTAGGCTTTGGGCCCAGTCCCATAACTCCATGAGTAAGGTAGATCTAAAATTTACAATTTTAAAGCCTCTTTCATTTGAGGTGCTTCCGTTTCAATTATTTTATAAACTTTTGTGATCACTTTTCCATGAAGCGTAGATTACCTCCACCAAATTTCAGATTAAAATTTAATCGAAAAGTTATTTAAATAAATCATTTAGAAAATCGCATTATATATATAATTGTGCAATTTTTAATAATTTATTTATCTACTTCTCGCGTGATTGAATTTTAACTTGCAATTCGGTTGACATAGTGTCTACACTTAATGGACAACATGCTCACAAAATTTCATCAAAATATTCGACGCAAAAGCATTTCAAATGGAAGAGGCCTGAAATCATAAGTTTTATATTATCATTGTCCTATTCAGCAACATATCTACAATGTACTGCCATCTTGAAAACTTATTTAAGAATGAATGGGAGTATTTAAAGGTAATCTATGGTTTGTGGGGCAGAGTTAAGTTGGATTATATTTAAGATATTTCTAAAAAAGAAACACTATAGTTATGTTTGGCAGAAGATACTCATTTGACTACTACAAAATAATGAGGATGTGTTTGGGAGTTGAGTTTTGGAGGGGAGGGGAAGGTTGACAACGTTTTTGCCTCTCCCTTTCATGTTTGGGAGTTTAAAAATATGGAGGGGATGATTTTGGAGGGTTTTTGTAACCCTCCAAAACTCTTCAAATCCTTAATTTTTAAGTTCCCCAAATTGAGGGATTTTGAAGGATAACTAATTAAATGACAACTTTTGTTCAAATTTAAATTAATATAAAATCAACTATTTGAATTCATCATATATGTAAAGTGATTTTAATTATAACTCATCCATAACTTCTATGTTTTCAAATTTGTTACTCTCAAACAAGAAGGGGGTTTCCTTCCCTTTCACTCTCCTTCCCTTCCAATGACTAACCTCCAAAATCTTCCCCTCTCATTCCCTTCAAACTCCCAAACATACCTGAACCACTACTTCATGATCGATCCCAACCAACCTCCACATGAGGATTTATAAGAGTTGATTGTTTCTTTCATCTTGAGTTGCTTAAATATCACAAGACACAATCAGTGAGGAAACACAAAGCGCACCACGAGAAACTGGTATTAAGAAATAGCAAGGCAATTTGGGCAAATGGCGGAATTTCAAGCAAATCATGGTATTATGCACTATGATTTCATTGGAATTGGACCAAAGAAGTTTTGATAAATAACTTTGATGAGATCTAAATGCTATTCATGCTCAAATATGCTTAGTCTACGCCTTTTTGTGTACGTCATTCATCCATTCGCACAGATAATATGAAATGCAAAAGTTGTTTGTATATAAACAACATTATTTATATTGTTTAATTCTTTTAAAGCTAAGATGCTAAACAAGTCTTATTTTGAAAACAAAAACAACGGAATTCCACTTAATGAATTTTGTGTATGATTTATTTCTAGTTTGTACAATTCCTTCCATATTAATCTACATTTAATAGCAAAATTTCACTTTTCATCTTTGAAGTGTTTAAAGTAGATTATTGGACTTTAATGCACTAAACCCATTTGTGATATAGAAATTCAGCACATCAACTCTATATGATTTAATAAATGAATCAATTCTCTTTATGTTATAATTATTCATTTGCATAACCTCTTTTATGAACAATTTGGAAATTACTTTTCTTAATATTATCATGGACTCTGCAAGTTAATTTGTCAACATCTCTAAATTATACAAAAATGCTAATTTTTTTAATTTGACCATTAAATTTGTTCATAGTGGGAGTTATGCGTATAAATAATTCTAACAGAGGTGTTTGACTTTTTTATTTAATTACGGGAGCTAATATACTTAATTTCTATATCATTACATTAAATAGAAGTTATTGGGAAGTTCGGAGAGATGATAATGTTTTTACTTGGATTGTTTTCAATCTCATATCAGACTAGACCATATTTAAACAAACCAGACCAGCAAATTTATTAGTACAAGTAAAAACATCCTTAATTAGTCCGATACACTTGGAATTGAACATTTCCTGTCCTCTTATACCAAAAATGAAAGAAAAACTCAGCATGATGACATATTAGGGTTGTAAATGAACCGAATCGAGTCGAATATTGTGATTTTGTATTTGTATTTTTTTAATTTTTTCGAATACGAATTCAAATTCGAATATGAAACGAATAATATCTTCGATTTGTATTTGTATTTGTTTAACAATACGAAAAGTTAATGAATCATATACGAATATCAAATCGATTGGATCATAAGTTAAATATTAGTTAAATATCATTTAAACCGACTTTCTTGTATTTTTTATGTTATAAATGCATGCTATGACTTAATATGCGTTTTTAGAATTTAATTTGTGACATTTCATTTTTGTTTAAAATTTAATGGATCGATGCATTTTTAGGTTGTGCACAATATGATGAAGTGAATCAATTTTATGATTACTATACATAAATATATTCAAAGTTTTTGAAATAACCACTAACTAACACATGTTAGAGATTATACCTATAATTTGTGAAATAAGTTGATAATTGCATATATTAAAGTCAAATGACTCTAATTTTATGTTAGATATTCAGCATTTTTAATAATCAAAAACACCACTAGATATATAGTTTATATTAACCACAAATAGTAGGTAGTTGATGCACATAAACATACTAGACAGTTGATTTTGTTTATGTATAAATGAATATATATTTGATTATTCTTCGAATCAAATATATAATTGTTGGTATTCGTATTGAAAGATGTTTGAACCAAACATCAGATTCGTCTTTGTATTTATTTTCTATATTTTCAAATTTAAATCACAATTTATGAATTGAATTAAAGTTATTTGTTTCATTTACAACCCTTACTCCTCGTGGTACTTCTGATTTATTACAAATTGACTTGAATTGTGTATACATAAATGTATATATGGGCTACACTTTGAGGGCATAGCTAGGTTTTGAAAGTTATTTTTAGTATTACCACTACTACTATTACTACTACTATTATTAATATTATCACTATTATTAATCGAATATATTTGATTAACTTTCGAATCGAATATATTGATATTTGTATTTGATAACATTTCAAATCAAATTTAGTATTCTTATTTGTATTTGTATTTGAATTTTTCGAATTCAAATCATCTTTTACGACTTCGAATCACGAATAGAGTATAAATTATTTGATTTCCTTTACAACGTGGTTCATTCAATGACCCCTTTTCTTGTTCTGTTTATTGGCAAGAGGAACTTGTATGAACCCAAACTTCTTCCTCTGCGCAACATATTGCTTCTGCAAGCCCCCGTCTTTCCCAGGCTTGCCTGGACCCAATGAGATCCCGCTCTGCTCTCGAAGCATCTGGCTAAATGGCACATGATGTTTCTCTGTTTCATCATCTTCTTCCTCCACCTTTTTGCTCAGCACGTCCCCAATTGAAACTGATGGCTTGAAACCCGGAACATGTTTGTCTTTTGGCGTGTTTGGTTCTTTTTCCTCCAGGATCTTAGCAGGTTTTGAATCCCTTAACCTAGCTAAATGACCCAGAGCTTCTTTTGGGTGGTTCTTGTGGTTTTGAATGGATTCTAATTGCTTCTTTCCGGCGATGATAACTTCGGCATTTGAGTCCACAAATTTGGTCTTACACTGTTCTTCAACTTTTGGTGTGAGGGTGTATTGTTTCTCATCCAGGAGTGTCATCTCCTTAGCAGAGGGTACCTGAAAAAAGCGTTTGGCATTCCATAACGCCTTCCTTTCAGCAATGGCAATGGCTTCCAAGGCTCTGGCAGCTTCCTCTATCTTCTTGGCCGCAGTCAACCTCAGTTCAGCCATCTTCATGCTTTCCTTTTGTTGATTCATATAGAGTACATATTCATATAAATGTATAAATTCAGACATATAGTAATCTTACTTTCAAAAACATTAATGGTTTTACAACTCATTAGGTTTATGCTCAAAAGGGCGAAGGCATACTTGTTTCAGCAATACCAGGCCAAATTAATAGATTAGACTTGAGTAATAGGATGTATGTAGTAGTAAAATAGACATACCGAAAACCGTATCAGTCTTAAATAGATCATACCATACCCTGCCATCCTTAAACGGGCTAGACCAGAACAACAGACCACAAAAATGTTAATCCATGTCAAAACATCCTATATAAGTTATCCCATTCTCACAATTAGGTTGATTTTTTGATTTTTTAAGTCTAACTTTGTTTTCACCATAAAAAACAGTCTAACTTTGTTTCAAAATCTTTCCACATTATAACACGAAAATGATTTTCAATACTATAAATTACTATATACGGAGTACTTCAAGACGAATACCTTCATTCGTTCGATATCTAGTGTTGCCTTCATGACCTGATAGCTTGATGCATCTGCCATTTTCTTACACTGTTCAGACTCAAAGTTCACCCCCCAGTCCTCTTCATCATCAATGTCATCCATACTTTCCTCAACAACCCTCTCACGACATTCCCTCCCGCCGTTCTCACTAAGAAGCCTCCTTTCATTCTTAACTTCCTTGTTGAGAGACTGAACAGAAGTGCGGATGACAGAAAGGTCCATCGACATCTTATTGAGGTCCTCCTTTGCTTGGTTCAACTCCATCAGAACATTGCCCGGGGAAGGAATGGGTGTAAAAGAAGCCAATCTTTCTGATGGGCTAAAACCCGGGCTTGATGACATAGAAGAAGAAGAAGAAGAAGAAGAAGCAGACACTTCATCTTCCATCAAATTTAACTTTAGTCCTTCTACATATCGTTTTGCTGCTTCCACTTCTTTCAACACATTAAGTGCTTCTTGCTCCTTCATGATCAAATCCCGTTCGAAATCATTTGTTCCCTCTTCCATTTTGTTTAGTTCTAACGTGCCCGGATTTTCTTCCTAGTAAAAAACAGAAATTTAAAGTTGTCACGAAAAAGAAAGAAATAAAATACTCTTGTATTCTTGAAAGTTGTCCAGAAAAAAGGAATAATATGAATCACAGAATCTTTTCTATAAAAAGAAAGTATTTTGGAAAGGTCGAAAAAGGAAAGTGTGAGGATACTAGATATAGGGACAAAAGTCGTATACACAAAAAAGACAAGTAATTTAAAGTACTCACACGAAGAGGCATTCGGAGGAGGTGATGGGGAAACCAAGGGCCACTCCCGCCAAAACGGTCCACCGCTTCCTTGACAGACTCGAATGGCGGGGTGGTGTCAATCTCAACTCTTGGGCTCATCATCTTCTTCTTCATCTCTGTACACTCTTCTTTTTCAGCCATTCTTTTTCCTTTTAGTTTTCTTTAGTTGTGGTATTATTAGTGCGTGTGAGAATATGGACTTAATGCTAGCTAGTCCAGCTACTGGACGCTGGTGGAGCTATTTAACTTCACCATTACCGATTTTCCGGGCTGCTTTTTATAATATAGGATAGGACTATTAATAATGATAATACCCTGATAAAGATTGGTTTGGTTGTGCACTGTGCAGTTGTGCTTAAAGGTGTTTTTATTGAAAAACAATGTGTTCAACTGTTTAAGCATCAAAAGTCTTGCAAAAAAGTGTCGTTCAATAAATTGAAAAGAGCAAGGTCTTCTAAGTAGTTGATAAATTAGTTTCTTGATTACTAGTAACGTATATTGTATTCTTGCTTATTCCTAGGAACCATCACCTAGATGTTGCTTTTCGGATCTAAATGGTTCAATCTGTGTTCCAATAGTTCTCATGCGTTAAGTGGTCCTTTTTGCATTTTGAATATTACATATTGAAGGGACAACTTTACTTGATGATGTAGAAGTAGATGAAAAAAGTTTAGGGGTCAAGCACCTTATACATATTACATAGTCGGATATTCACTATGAAACATTAGTTTGGTATATTCGGATTTTATTCAAATAATTACAATGTGTTGTTTGCCCCATTTGTTTGCCCCAAACAAATGTACAGAAATCGCCCGGATTTGCCACTTTTGGTTCCCGACTATTGTGTCGGTGACACTTTTGGTACTCGACTTTTAATTTTCCCATTTCTAATCCTCGACTATTGTGCGAGAGACACTTTTAGTCCCTGACTTTCAATTTTCCCACATTTAGTCCTTTGAGTATTATCAAATTGACAATTTTAGTCCTTCTACTATGATTTTGACACAATAAGTGAAGGACTAAAAATGTCACTATTGCAATAGTTGAAGGACCAAAAATGTCACTTTTACAAATGTCGAAGGACTAAATACGAAAATTTTTAAAGTCGGGTACCAAAAGTGTCTCTTGCACTATAGTCGAAGACTAAAAATGGAAAAATTAAAAGTCGAGTACCAAAAGTGTCACTGACACAATAGTCGAGGGACTAAAAGTGGCAAAAACTCAATTTGACATCAATATAATCAAAATTTGATAAGATTTTAATATTATGATTAAAATTTCATACCTAATATATTTCATAGTACATATTTCATACCAAATACAATTAAAATTTCATGCATAATAATATATCTACAATATATATCTACAAGTCACTTCTTCAAATTTACAAAATAGATCTACAAGTAAGTTCTATAAATTTTAATGTATTGATTAAAATTCTCCACTTTATTTCCTTATATATGTTAAAAAAAAATTAATTGGATTGATTAGAAGCATATAATAATGACATCACATGCTTATATGACATATTGTACGCTCGAAAAGTTTCTCTTTTATATTTTCTCTGGGTTTTTTCTAGTTACAATACTTTCATTTTCATGTTTTCCAACCCACTACTTTGAGTATAAATACATATGATTTACTCTAAGTAAAAAATTAAAAGAATGATATTGTTGAGGTTTATTTCCTCAACCCGCAGGCCCAACACGTAACCTGGGGGTTTCGAATGGGTGAAGGACAAATAAGATGAAGAGGCAACAGGGAATGAGCCAACAACTGTATTTAATCACTCAAACGATTGCAAGCCGAAAGGACGAACGTACTATGCTATGTTTTGAGCTGTTATTACTGCTATAATGCTAGGGAGTCAGATTGCGAACCCTTTACAATGAAATAAATGCGACTATTTATACTACCCAAGGGTGGTTGGGAGTGCTGACGTGGTTGGCTGTAGGCGACATGATCCCAACCACCAAGTCTCCCGCATTTAATGTGTTTCCCGCCAGGATCTCGGTTTCCCGCCATGGGGTGGGGACGTTCGTCCCTCAGGGCTGGACCCAATCTTCTGGTGGCAGCCTGATCCCTGTGGTAGGGGTCATGAGACGTACGTCCCCTAACCCTTGGGCCCTGGTGTTGACTAGCGATGGACTACGTACGTCCCCTGACCCTTGGGCCCTGGTGTTGGTTGGCGATGGACTACGTACGTTCCCCTGTCCTTGGGCCCTGATGTTGGTTGGCGATGGACTACGTACGTCCCCTGGCCCTTGGGCCTTAAGACTGAGGTATGCTGGATCACGTACGTCCCCTGGTCCTTTGGCATTGACCTTTCCTCTTGGGCCTTTAGCAAGATGCTCATAGGTGGTCCATAAGGGTTGATGGCCCGGCCCTTGTTGGGCCATTATCCCAACACAAGTCCCCCACTTCTGATGTTCCGAGCGTGCGCGGGACATGAAGAAGTAATTAGTTTCCACCATACTGCTTTGTGCCGCTGTCATCTTTCCCCGGAAGTGACGGTTGCTTCCCCGCCGTTGTTCACGGGGCTCTAGGTGGCAGTTATCCTGGGTGGTTAAACTTCCAATGCAAAAGTAATCATTTCGTACATGCCCGTCTCTAGGTGGCAGTTCATCTTCCGCGGCAAGCTCTAGGTCCCGTTCTTCGGAGGGAACAAGTAGCTCTGGCCGCTCCAGCGCCTCTACAATGGCGATCCTTGTGGCGGCAGATGAGGGTGCGGCCTCAAATGCAGGGGGTATGTTGATACGGACGCCATTCCTCAGAACGCCGTGGCGGTGGTAGCGCAACCTGACGCAGAGGGGGAGCACTCGGCCGATTATGACTCTGGCGAAGAGGTCGAAGAGGGGGGCGATCTCCAGGTATTCAAGCTTGGCGTCCCCATGGATCGACACCGGCACATCGTGCTTATTCCCAAATTTGTCGTGCTCGACCAGGTCTTCTCTAGGAGGGCCCTGAAGGAGCTGCAAACACTTCTCCTCCACTGTTTCACTACAGCCTCCGAGGCGCGGACAATCTCTTTAAAAGACGTTCGGGAATGGTGATGGCGCATATGGACTCCATAAAGGCCGGACTATGTTTCCCACTTCATCCATTTTATCTTGTCTTTTTCGACTTGTTCAGTGTTGTTCCGGCTCAATTTATGCTGAACTCCTACCGCCTGATCTCCGCATTCATTATTCGTTGCAAATCGCAAGGACTCACCCCCACTTTGGACCTCTTCCATTATTTCTTTCAAGACACCCCCCAAAATTCCGATGAGTTTCTGAGCATGGCCGCTCGTCCCAAAAGGAAAATGTTCGAGGGGGCTCCCACTTCAATCCATGACTAGAAGAACCGTTTTTTCTTCATTCGTTATTCGGACGAGCGGCTTCCTGTGAGATGGAATGGGTACCACCCGAAGATTACGTCGCCAGAGCTGACCCAGTGGGGCGTCCCTCCATGGTTTGTAGGAGGAACGTCCCTGACGTGCACTTGTCGTGGGGTGCACTCAAAATAATTTATCAATACAACACTAATACGTAGTATAGTGAAGTAATGTTCGTATCCACAGGGAAAGGAATACTTTTCTTTTATATAAATAGTAACAAGGGGGGTTTTAAGTTTGATTTAATTAACACTAAGATAAACGTCTTATATGAATTTAATTTATAGAGATGAGGACTTGGTTTTGCTTTTATCCACTTAATGAAATGTTCGTCGAGCCCGGTTATATCTTTAACTATCTTCCTCTCGAATACTCAATCGAGGAGTATATCCAGTTCATCGAGGGTAGTTATTAATAACGAGACGCGTTCATTAATAAAACTTACTACCGAGTCAATATAGAACACGTGTCGTATATTAACACGATAGTAGCAATAAACTTGAGATGAAAACGATTGAGATTGATAACCTCAACACAAGCGGTTTATCGGTTTAATCAATATAATTAATTCCCCTTAGATTATTAATCATGAGACGCATGCATTAACAATCCAAGTTTACTACCGTTGAAGGAACCGAATTAATAACAAGCGTATTAATCGATTGATTCTAGTAATAATTAATATATGAAACAAAACTAGTTGATCCTTTAAGTAATGTTCAAAATATTAATATGAAATATGAATAGGAATTAATTAATACTCAAGGAAGAATATTAAAGAGTATGAATCCTACTATAGTTAATATCAAGATGTTAACTAATTGTCATCTTAGTAACACTCCCCAATATTAACATAGAGGAAGAAATAACTATTACTATAACTAATGTCAAGATGTTAACTAATTGTCATCGTAGTAACACTCCCCAACATTGATATAGAAATAGTATTTAAAGGAAGAATTAATATTCAAGGAAGAAAATTAAAGAGAATAACTCACAACTTACAAATTCATTAAGCTTCAAAGTAGCAAAACCAAGATGAAAGAGTTTAGCTCCTCATTTAGAGACTAAACATGATGAAAATATAAAAGAAATACTTAACTAAATTGAGCTAAAGAGTATATGTGAATTCTGTTCTTTTATTGTGAAAGAAAGGGGTGTATTTATAGGCTTTTAGGAGCTGCATGCTCTGATACCCGACCGGGTATATAGGATACCTGACCGGGTATCTTAGGAAATTTCCTTGAAATTCACTTTTCTGGGCATACCTGATCGGGTATGTCGGCATACCTGATCGGGTATGTGACAAATCTTAACGAAATCTTGCTCCCACGATCATTTGTTCCCGGATTTGATTTGGACAATCGAATCAAGCAAATACCCGATCGGGTATAGGCAATACCCGACCGGGTACATGAGTATTTTTTCCAAATCGAAATCTTTCTTGCCTCCTTGCACTTTCCTTGATCTTTTAAGGTCCAATCTTGATCCCTTGGATGATCTTTGACCTCTTTAGCTCAGAAAAGTCCTAATCTAAACAAATTACAAATAAATATGAAAATAAAGTATTACACCAAAAGTGTGTAATTTACTCAACTAGAACTAATAAAAACTATTTAAAAATACAAACATACAATCGGAAATTACATGAATATCAACTCTCCCACACTTAGCTTCTTTACTCGTCCTCGAGTAAAGTCAAATGTTTAACAGTTCCAAGTCCTCAAAAGTTCAACAATCAACCAGAAAAAGCAAAAGACCACCAAGGATAACATATGGGTTTTACATTGAGTGTTTAGCTCAAAGAATAATATCTTCTTGGGTTTCATGGCCTTCTATGCTCATCTCCT